AACAAGAACTTTCTCATGTCTTTGAGGCCTGCTGTCACCAAAGCCTCCAGCCTTGGAACTCCAGACCTTTCTCCTGTTTGTGGGACCCGCCGTGTGGAAAGCCTCAGGGACTTCACCACTGCGGCCTATTTTTCCACATAGGCCCTTGTTGAGAAAATGCTCTACCACTGAGATCCATCTCTACTCACTGGATTCTATATGTATGTGCATGCATTGTGTACATGTTCATGTGTATTCTTGTGTGTGTATGTGTGTGTTATGTGTGTTTATATATGTTCAGGTGTGTATGTGTGTTCAGGTGTATGTGTGTGCCTGAGAACAGCCTTAGATGGTATTCATGAGGTCTCATCTACCTTTTGTTTTGAGACAGGGTCTCTCATTGGACTCTCCCCAGGCTGACTTTCAAGCAGTCTCCAGGGATACACATATCTTTGCCTCCCCAGCATTGGGATTACAAGAATATACCATCATGTCAAACATACCTGTATTTTTAAACGTCAGTTCTGGGCATAGAACTCAGGTCCTCCTGCTTGTGTGGTAAGCTCTGTATTTACTGTAATATTTCCCCATCACCAGTTCTTGAACTTTTGATACTGGCTCAATACATAGCTGAGATTGCTATGTACTCAGACTGTTCTCAGAATCTTCCTGCCTCAGCCTCATGACGGTTGAGATGAGAGGCCTGCACCAGCTACATGACTAACTCCGATATATCACATCCTTAAAACAGCACGATACTATCACTGAGCTCACTTTAACATTCTTAGTACAGGAGCCAGGCTTAGCACTTAAGAGAGATTACTATTCTTGCAGAGGATTAAGGTTCAGTTCCTAGCATCGACATGGCAGTTTCCAACCTTCTGTAACTCTAGTGGCAGGGGATGGGACTCCACAGGCACCAAGCACAGTTGTGGTATGCATACATATGTATGCTTTACATAAGAAAAACACACTACAAATAAAATAAAAATGAATCTTTAAAAAGTCTATTTACAATGCCTATCCACAGAGGAGAAACATTACATACAAAAATCCAAAGGGGGCTGTAGTATGTATGGCACAGCAGGTAAAATGCTTGCTGCTAAGCCTGAGTTTGATCCCCAAATTGTATTTGGTAGAAGGAGAGAACCAACTTCCTAAAGTTGTCCTCTGACCTACATGTACACTCTGACATGCACATAAACACATACTAAATAAATGAATGTAAAAGATAAACTATCTATCTATCTATCTATCTATCTATCTATCTATCTATCATATTTATCTATCTGGTTTCTCTGTGGAGCCCTTGGTGTCCTGGAATTCCCTCTGTAGATCAGGTTGGCTCAGAGATCTACCTACCTCTTCCTCCCAACTGCTGGATTAAAGACACGTAGCACTATGCCCAGCTTAAAAAAATTTTTTTTAAAGGAACAAACAAACAAACCACTAAAAGGGAAGAAAAGTCACCTATAATCCACACATGTAAAGATGACTTCTGTTAATATTCCCATGGCTTCTACTTAGCTTTTTATTTTTAACTATAAAAAGCCCCTGTTTGTATAAATGTAGATTTAAAATAGAACTACTAAATATATATTTTTGTTTCTTTGATGTGTGTGAGGTGTCTCCCTATGTGCCTCTGAATAGCTGGAGTTCCCTATGTAGACCAGGCTGGCTTTCAACTCCCAAGGCTCTGCTTGCCTCTGCCTTACAAGTGCTGAGACCATATATACTTTAAAAAGACTACTTTGCTGCTTGTAATGTACATCTTCCCATGGAACAATTAGTGACATGCTGCTGTGTGATTAAGATGGCCAAAGGTCAGATGTATTTAATAGTCTGTTCTCTATTGTACATTTAGGTCAGCTATAGTATTATATTGCATCAATTTTTTTCTTTTTTAAAAATAGAATATTGATTAATTAATTAAGTAAGTAATTAATGCTGTACATGTGCATGTCCCACAGAACAGGTTTGAAAGTCAAAGGACACTTTCCAGGAGTCAGTTCTCTCCTTCCCCCACTTGTGGGTCTTGGGGATTGAAGTCAGGTCATTAGGATTGGGGAAAGTGCCTTTACCTGCTGAGCCATCTCACCAGCTTCAAGCAGGTATTCAATAAATATCTGCATTTACATTTCTAACATTCATTCTATTATTTCCTGAGAACACACATGAGGACCTAACACAAGTCTTTTGGAAGAGCAGCCAGTGATTTTAATGATGGAGTCATCTCTCCAGTCCCAAAACATTGTTATTTTAGATGCAGCATTAAATCTTGGTAATATTTTAAGAATATTCAATGAAACAGCCAGAAGAAAGAAAATACAAGTAAATATGGGTATCCGTGACTGAAGGCCTGACTACTGTGGCTTATTTGCCCTCTCACATGAGGGAAACACATATAATATATAGACACATATCAATTGTCTTTATGTTAAAATATGGGGATATATATATATATATATATATATATATACTTTTAATGCTGTATTATATATAATATTTACAATATAATCTAATATTTTTAATATTAATTTAATATAATTATATAATTTAATATTAATTATATATAATTATAAACTCTAATTATATAAAATATATACATATGTAATATAGTTATATAATATATTCTATATTACATAATATATATAAACTGTTATATAGCATATAATAGAACTGTCATTTGCATCTTAGGCTTCACTGGCATCTTTCTTCTTTTTGAGGCAGGACCTTACCACAAAGCCCATGCTGGCTTCTAGCTTACAAAGGTCTTGCCTCAGCCTCCTGATTTGTGCACTATCACATCTACTACTTGTGTTTCTTAAGAGAAAGTTACTTCACAGTGCATGAACTTGGAAGTGTTTTCCCATAGTTAGGAAATTTACCTTTTCCTTCATGTTCCTGCCTTGGGTGCTTCTCCCACAGGAGGAAGGGATTACTCACTGCCTACCAAACAACTTTTCATCTTCTTCAAGAAGGGAATGTGGCTGCCAGAAGTATGTTTCTGAGCCTTCTTTGCAGCTGGGTGTGGCCAGGAGAGTGATGTGGGCCAGCAAGTGACAGCAAGTGCAAACAAAGCTACTGTGCATGGGGGTGAGCTCCTGAGACCAGAGCCACACCCTTCTGCCTACGCTCTGTTCTGCTGCCTATGAAGAAACAGCTAGAGCTCTTTCAGTCTTTTTGGACTATTTCCATCTGAGGATGAAGGCCATCTTTGGTAGAGGGAAAGAGAGGAGCCTGGAATACTGCTATAACTATCCTGAGCTATCTGTCTGTGACCTTCCTTCATGTGAGAGGGCAAATAAGCCACAGTAGTCAGGCCTTCAGTCACTAGTATCCACATTTGCTTGTATTTTCTTCTGGCTGTTTCATTGACTATTCTCAAGATATAACTAAGATTTAATGCTGCATCTGAAATAATAATGTTTTAGGACTGGAGAGATGACTCAGTTATTAAAAGCACTAGCTGCTCTTCCAAAGAACTCATATTAGGTTCCCAGCATACATGGCAGCTCACAAACCATCTGTAACTCCAGTTCCAGGAGATCAAATGCCCTCCATAGGCCCTGCATGCAGATGGTATACAGATATCCATGCAGGCAAAAGACCTAAACACATAAAAGAATAAGTAATCTTTATAGAATAGAACCAAATACAACTGGCAAAAAATGTTAATGACATGATTTTTAATGATATTCTGCTATATTCCTAGCAGAATACCCCAATCATCATCAGAAGGGCTTCATCAAGCACCTGATAAGAGCAGAGGCAGAGACCCACAGTTAGACATTAGACAGAGCTTGGGGAGCCCTGTGGAAGAGGGCGAGGAAGAATTATAGGGGCAAGAGGGGCTGAAGACAGCAAGGGAACACAGTCCACAGAATCAACTAAGTAGGGTTCATAGAGGCTCACAGAGACTGCAGAAATAATTGTGGAGCCTGCAATGGTCTGGGCTAGGTCCTTTGAATATATATTATGGTTGTGTAGCTTGGTGTTCTTGTGGGACTCCTAACACTGGGAGTGGGGCTGTCTCTGACTCTTTGCCTGCTTTTGAGACCCTTTTCCTCCTACTAGGTTGTCTTGGCCAGCCTTAGTATGAGGGTTTGTGCCTACTCTTATTATAACTTGTTATGCCGTGTCTGATTGAAGGCTGCTCTATTGTGAAGGAAAGCAGAGGAGAAGTGGTTCTGAGGGAGAGTGGACACGTGGAGGGAAACTTGGAGGAGTGGAGAGAGGAAAAACTGAGGTTGGAATGTAATGCATCAGAGAAGATTAAAAAATAGAGAAGCAAAAAAAAAAAATTAAAAAAAACCCCTAATGTTTTGGTAGAAATGTCTTCAATCTGATGTGTCAGACCTATATATAATAACATTATGACACCAAATTATAAAAAAGGGCCCAATTATAATGTTCTATTCTGCTTAGACTTAAAAAAAAAACCAACAATGCTGATTTTGAGACATAGCATGAGATCCATCTCATTAGCTATTCATGGCCTTTTCTTTGAAAAGAAAACTGGAGAAGATATTATAAATGTGAGACTGCGCATCTAGTTGAGATTTTTTTTCTGAAAGCAATTGTCCATATCTTTAAACATATGTAATAAAGAACAGAATTTCACTAAGTTTCACTAAGGTCAGAATTTCATTTTAATACTCTTGGTGTTAAAATATAAATCTATGAATGTTTTTTTCTAGAATTTAACAAAATATATTATTATTGAATCTGTAAAAATTAGTCTAGTTGGAAAATATTACTCTAATTTAATGTAACTTTCTTTACTAATAGTTATGTAAGACTATAATACCTCAGTGATCTTCACGACAATCTTATGAAGAAGTTGAAGCTCAGAGTATTTAATTCACTTGTTCAAGGTCATCCGAGGATAACAAGAAAGATAGGACTCCAAAGTCTTAACTCTTGGCTACTCATACTAGGCTCTGGCCTGCACCTGCAGGAGGCAAAAGGTGAAGGAGATAGTTTCCCACAGGTAAATGCTACGGTCAGTGGGGACCTACCAGTGCCACACAGGTCCACTATGTTAATGCGAGTGGGTGCAGAAGCGCCTTTCGAGTTGGCTGCAGACACGGATGCAATCCAAGTCCCAGTTTTGGGAATGACCCCAGTCCAAGAGGTGTGTCTTGTAGTATTCTGCAGTGTAGTTTTCTTTGTCACCTCCTGTAAGGTCACCTGATAGTGAAGGATCTTCCCCCTTGCCTCTGATGGATTCAGACTCTGCAACAAAAAGTATGCACATATCCTTCCTCTCAGACAAGAGCAGGTTGCTCTCTGTGGCTGGACTGCCTGGCCCTGCTGCAGATGACTCTGCCGCGTGACCTTTTTATTTATATCTTCTTATCTCCACTGTACACTTTCATTCAGCGATTCACATCCTCATACCTTCTATTTAGTAAATAAAAAAAGATCAGTGAACATTTAAAAAGATAACTCTTCCAAACACATTGACTTTTCTTTCTTTACAATGAAGATTACTCATGGTAAATACAGCTAAGAGGAGAAGCATGGGCTCTGAACGTAGAGCACTGGCTCTGTGCTTCGAATTTATCACCGCTCAGGTCTTGAGGCAAATACTCAGTTTTTCCGGGTTTCTGTTTTAAAATTTGTGAAACAATACAGAGAGCCATTCACAGAGACACACAGAGAGACATACAGAGAAAACAAACACAGAAAGCAAGGCCATGGGCAGGTGGGTAGGGGGAGAGGGTGCTTTTTTTAACATACAGAAAATGCAATGCTGCTTGAAACAGCAAACACAAGACTTCCAGGAGCTAAACTAGTAAAATTGATACTTAGGAACTTGAATTAGCCATCTGTGCTGGGAACTTAGTTCCAAAATGCAAAATTTTGATTGAGATCATTTGGGAACAAACTCACAAAGTAAGCAGAAACTACCTGATATTTTTTCTTTGGTCTGTACCATGTTTTGTCCAATGGTCATGGCAAATGGAAACACAGACTGTGAAGAGTTGTCAGGTCTAAACCTGACAGTGCCCCTTGCTGCCTACTGCAGGACGAAGGCAGGGCTCACAGATTTAAGTGGCATAGTTTTCTGGGCCCAGCTTTCTGTTCAAGGCAGGAGACTGTTTACTGGAAGACATACCTGAGGACCAGCCAATGTGCTTGCTCTGGTTTCTCACTTCCCAGGAGGCTGAATAATTTGATTTCCTATGCAGTTTCTCTGCCAGAAGAGTTTGGGCTGACATGAACATCTGGCACACTTCACTTCTTTCACTTTAAGTGAACAAACCAGCTTTCTGATTCTAATTTGGATTCGGAGACATTTAGCACAGGAGAAAGAATGGTCTGATGTGCTGAGTCAAGACTTCTGACTGGCCCAGTAGCTGCATTCTTACTGTAAATTCAGCAACGAGCTCTCAGCTTTGTATATTGCTGTTTCTGGGAGCTTAGTTAATGTAATATGCAAGTCTGTTAGGGGAAACTCTTTGGTCCACAAGTCCTAAACTAGACCTTGGTCCAGTGTACTGGGTGAAGACAGTGCTGCTGGGGAACTTTTGCTGTCTATTGAGCATCATCCTGAAGTTATCTTTTCAGGTGGCCATTACAATCGATCTCATTTCTTATTTGAAGATTATATAAGCAAGTGTTTGTTTTTAATTATATTCCCCAGTTTTGTGTGAGTGTGTGTGTGTGTCTATCTTTTTTTTCCCCCTCACAGGATCTCACTGTGGAACCCTAGCTGATTTAGAACTCACTATATAAATCAGGTTGACCTCAAATTTGTGTTAGCCTCCCTACCTCTGGGATTATAGAGGGATTATTTCCACACCCTGCCATGCAAATGCTTTGAAAAGTATGATGTTCTAATGAGCACCATACTAATAAACATGGCCTTTATCAAAGGAGAAAAAGAACATAGATGAAACAAATGCTTGTAGGGAAGCCATCCTCTGGCTGGAATGGGGAGCTTTGTGAACAGTTAACCTGAGGAATGACTTGGGAGAATTTGGACAGTCTGTGTTAGATACACTTATCTTTGAACCTATAGGGTTGGCAGAGAAGGATGGTGTGGGAGACAGCTAAAGAGATACCTTTCTGTAACAGACGCTCACTTTCATCTGTAGTCTTTATTTTCTCCATCTGTCGTGATGTGCTGCTTCTCAGGCCTGAGACAGTGAGATTCAGGCCATCACAATTTACCGATGGAATTCCCTGTCACCTTTCCAGCTGCAAAGCACCATCTTCAGCCGAGAGGCTATGACCCATTCTGACACACAGCGTGAACTAAAAGCATGAGTTTAGCAATTTGAAATGGGTGAGGACAAGATTTTTTTTTCCACAAGAGCCAAAAGGCTCTGAGTCACAGGAGACAAGAAGTGAACACTAAAGATGTACATCTTGTACAGATGTACAAGAGCCAATTGCCTCTGTAGATAAATGTATTTGCACTCCAGTGCTACTCATTTGAGACAGTGATAAGGGAGAAAAAGAACATTTTGTTAATCATGAGCTTTACATTTCTTGTCATGTTTAGGTCTTCTCATTTCTCATTCTGAGGAGTAAGCTCAGATTTAGAGCTGCTAATTAGCTCAAGCCCTTTCTAGGAAGAAAATATAGATCGCCCCCTGGTGGGCAGTGGCAAGGACATTATCTGGAGTGTGTGGCTGTCAATCCTGGTAGGGTTTCTGACACCTGGATCCCTTCTAGCAGAGTTGAGTGTGGCCCTCAGGCCAGTGTTGGTACGTGGTAAGAACATGCTATAAGACAATGCCATCCTTTTGATTTCCTTTTCCAGTTTTCTCTCTGTGCTATATGGAAACACTGCTAACAAAGCACTCCCTGGCTAATGCTATGATAAAGTCTCTCAGCATCAAAAATAATGTTTCCACCTGAGTATCCATCCCATGTGCAGTCACCAAAGGTAGATGCTGATGTGGAAGTCAGGAAGTGCATGCTGATAAGAGCCTGATATGGATGTCTCCTCAGAGGTCTTCAAGAGTCTGACATATTCAGAGGCAGATGCTCACAACTAGCCATTGAACTGATCATGGGTTTCTCAATAGAGGAATTAGAGTGAAGACTGAAGGAGCTGAAAGCATTTGCGGCACCATGAGGAGAACAATAATACCAACCAACCACAGCTCCCAGGGTCTAAACCACCAGCCTGGGAGCACTTAGGGAGGGATCCAGGGCTTCAGCTGAATACCCCAGGGGGTGGGAATTTTGAGGGTGGGGAGGTGGGAGTGGGGGGGGGTAGCTAGAGGTTACATCCACAGAGAAGAAGGAGGAGGGGTGAGGGGATTGGGGGTTCCTGGGTAGGTGGGGGATGGGGTAAGGGGACAACATAGGAAATGTAAATAAAACATCCAATAAAAAAAAACCAAAGAAAATCTGAGACAGAACAAAATCTGACATATCTCAGAATGTGACATACTTGATTTGAATTTTTTAAATTAAAAATCTACCAGAGGAAGGTGTCTCTGAATGGATAAACTATTTATTACTAAGACTTAGTCAAAACCTGTTGTATTTATTTTAAAGTAAAACTTGACTCCTAGATGCAAACAAGGAAAAGAAGAAAAACTAGGTGGCTATGTGGCACAGTGGACAGAGCATTGGCTCTAATATCAGAAGGGAAAAACATTAGAGTTTGGCTAAAGTCAAAGAAGAGCAGCACTGATCAAGACCCCTTCCAAAGCTTCAGTGTTTGGACACATTTGTCACAGTTCTTCTTTCCTTTGCTTTCAGCTTTGGATTGTTGCTGGTTTTGTGCATGCGTGATGCTGGGGATTGAATACAGGCCTTGTGCATGCTGTTATGGGCGCTTCACACTGAGCTGTAGCCCCAGCCTCAATGCTCAGTAGGAGGGTCCGTTGATTTTCTCACTTCTTTGTGTAACATCTGTTACACAGAGTTCTTTTTTATCACTTTGAGACATAATATCCCTATTTCAAAGTAAGAATAGTAATAATAACTTTTGGCTTCTTCTTTGGCTCTCTATGAAATTTCTACTAAATTAGAATTTATACTAAATTAAGGTTATTTACAAAGTACATATAATTTGTGAGTTGAAACCTGAATCCTGGGTTGACAGGATTGCTCAGTGGATAAAGAGGTGACTGCTGACAAGCCTGATGACTTAAGTTCAATTTCTGAAACCCACATTGTGGAAGGAGAGAGCAGGCATCCACACTGTGAATGGTACATGCATACAACCTAAAATAAATAAAAATAGAAACAACAACAAAAACAAAAACCCCCACACAAACTGAATACCTTCATTTCAGAATTCATGACTTAACATGCAGCAACTCTAGTACAAAGTGCAGAAATAACAGGAAGCAGTCATGTTGTTGGTTTGCTTTACTGAGATGAGGGCTCACTGTGTTGCCCAGGCTAGCCTTAAGTTCCTAGGCTCACTGATCCCCACGGATCAGCATTTTTAGTAGTCAGGACTATGGGTGTATGTCAGTCGTGTTCTAATTTTGTTTTAAAAATTTAAGCATCACTCCACTGAAATTTTCCATGTATGTATTCTCCCTCCCCTGCAGGCTATCAGCTCACCTGATATCCTCATGGGTTAGCACATTGCTTGCCTCATAACAGGAGTGCTGCTCTGGCTTTTCCTAATTACCTTGTGAATCTTCATGATAGTCTCATGTTCTGCATGTTAGTATTATCTTGAAGTTTACTCATAAGGAAAATATGTACCAAGAGGTACACCTTGCTCAAGAATACACAAGGCACACCACCATTTAGCTGTAACAGAGACACACAGAGAGCCCAACTTGTTCGTTAGGTCAGAGGTTAGAATTCTTGCTAGCCCTGGCATATCCCTCAACTGCCACAAAATGAGTTGAGACCCTGATTGATCAGGTGAGCAGCCAGAACCCTTGTTGGCCCAGGACTCCAAACCCTAGCCATAAAGAGAAACCATCTATTATCTGGTCAGTGGCCAATGCCCCTGCTGACCCAAAATTTCACCGCTGTCCCAGGCAACACCTGGAGAGCAAGCATGGCTGCTTTTCAGATCAGAGGCTGACACTCCTGCTGACACTAGTACCTCATCTTTAGCTGCCATAGAGTCAACTTGCTTGTCAGATCAAAGGCCAGCATTCCCAATGACCCTAACGCCCTACCCTTCTACCACAGTACTGCACAGAGATCACATTAGCTCTGTAGGTCAAAGGCTAGAAGCTCAGTTGACTCTGGCATTCTGTCCCTTTGATACTGAAGAATCACATTGAGTGCTGATT